TCGAAACATAGATATCAATACAAATACGGAAAAGTACAAATGGAATATGAGTTGTGTATTGAGTTTTGATAATTAGTTTACTTTTATACATGAAAGAAAACCGAAAGGGTTGTCATGAAGAAATCAAGAATAGTACATTACAATATTAGTGCGTTATGATGGTTATAACATGCAAGACGGAAATTCAGCCCGAGCCGAAGGCGAGGGCGTAATTGAGCCGAGCATGTTATAACCAATACGCACGTATATCGTACGACGTTTTTTAACACATTTGCGAGGAAACAGAAAAAAAAACATTAAATAAACTCAATCTGTGAATGTACACTGTTGCTTTCCCGCCATTTTAACAGTGCGCTAGCGCTGCCTACTGACTGGCGCCGCGCGGCGATTAGTTCGAAATTTGAATAAAGCAACAGCGCGCGAAATGGCAAATAATACTGTTATTCATCATATTATTAATTTCTGTTATTCATTACATCAGCTTCACGAGTAAAGGTGTTAAAAAGTACCATAACGACATCATTGAAAAAATTAAAACAAGTAATTAAATTGACTTCCAAACGATACTGTAGAAAATATTTTTTAATTTGCTTGTAAACGTTACTATTATTAAAATTATGTTATGTTGAAACTGCATTATTATTGCTGATAATTCTTAATAGGTATATTTCAATTAACATCAAAAATAATTTTCGTAATAATTTAAAAACATTGCTTTTAATCAGTTTTTTTTCTATTTACATAAATTTAAAGTCCCCTCTATTTGGTTGCGACATAAAGGCACAATATTCGAGAATGCTAAGCTACGACAAAGGACTAATTTTGTTGATTTAGAAAATTGCTCCTTTGTCCTATACTTTTATCACAATTAAGTACAACTTATATAGTTTATGTATGGTAGTAGATATAATAATAAATGCATATAAACGATGATAACAGATGCAAAATTGCCAATTTTCTCTGATAAATTTACGACATAAGTTTGTAAAAGTTTGTCAATTTTACAGCAATCTTATCTATTATGCAACAAAGAAGTATGTTATAAAATTATTGATATTTATCGATGAAAACTGAACAAATCAATATTGCGTTGTTAATATTTTATCAATAGGTATTTACTTAATTAACGCCATAAAAATAAAGATTAGCAGAAAGGGTGAAAATTTTAAATAATTACTACAAAACTTTAAAATAATTAATTACTATGTATGAGCTACATCATCATATTAATGGCTCTATAAATCTGTTGCTTAAAGCATAGGAAATATTAGAGACATATTTTTTTGCTTCATTTAAAAAGAAATACCTCAGATAACAGGCATTAAAGTTGAAAAATAGGGGTCGTTACGTCACAGCTTTGTAGAAAATGTACAAAAGTGTGACGTCATGTGACATCTTAATTTAATGTATCACCGCAATTTATTGATTACGCAAAAAATAAAAGAATAAGTCTTTAATATTCTTCAATAATCTTCCTCAGCTATTACTAGGCCCATTATAAGAAAATGTAGCTGCACAGATAGGATAGTTTATGGTGGGCTTACATTCATGTGTTCACATAGTTGGCAGAAGGATAGTTATAATTTTCACAAGTCAATGGTTTACTTTTTGTAATATATGATATAACATAATTTTAAAGTTCATATTTACGTGAAAACATTATCAGTAAATAGTCAAGTGCGAATCGGATTCGTGAAGAGCACATTATATTAAAATTATTGTATTGACATTTGCACATCGCCACCTACTTCCGTAAAGGTAACTTAGATTTCCAATACAAAAATTTGACATGTCTTCGACATGAACTCTAAACACACACAAACAGAGTTAACAAATCACATTGGTTTAAAAAAAAAAGTATAGAAGGCAAACTTTTTACGCTAATTCGTATTCAATACTGTGAACTTAAAAAACCTATGACAACACACACATAAATATAAAATGACCATATCAGTCTTGTTTGGTATTATCCGCAATTTCAGTTAAAATATGTACCTAGAAGGTTTATTTACTAAAATATACAGATACCGTAACAACTGATCGGCACACATTTACTTCTACAAAACAATTGTAAAAAGTCGTTGTGCATACAAAATCCGCTATGTAAAAAACCTAACTTTTCAGGACGGACATTGGCTTGAACCAGTGGAGGCGTTAAAATGGCATTTATTTGCATATTATATGCTCTTTTTGAAATTATAACAAACAACATCAATAATAAAACTGCAAAAAATCATAGCGGGTTTTATATATACGAATTTTTTTATTTTTATTGTGGCACTCCAAAGTGACTGCAATGCACCTGATGAAAAGTGCTATTACAGTCTAATAATACTAATAGCAGTCTAAACTACTTCAACCTGCTATTATGTAATGTAAGATATGCACAACAAAAAATATATGTAGACAGAAAATATTCGAAAAGTCAGATCAAACATATTACACTGGCAAACAAGTACTCTTAAATAATTATAGACTGTATTAGAACTCAAATTCGCAGTCGCTTCTGCCAAGCCAAGACACATTGTAATTCTTAAGATATGCCGCGCCCGTACGCTTGCCACTTGCCGCAAATTCCAAACATATGAACACGTCCGTCGTAAGATTTTGTGACAACTTCTCTTTAATTTGTAATAAAAGCCTACATCAATTGCAAGCGAATCTACGCAAATCAAAGTCAAATACTCTATCCACAAGTTTGAATTTGTCATGGCTTGCTGAAGTCTGGCAAACGTGTAGACGCGGCATTGAACACCGTTTATACTTATAAAAATTGTTAATAAAATCAGAAATACGGTTGACAAATTAAAAAAAACATTTTGTTTTACAGCCTTTCTAGTCCGATAATTATATTTTTATTTCGAAAAATATTTAAGAGTATTCAAAGTCCTAGGATTGTATAGAACTGCCTTCCATCTTGAAGTAGGTATTCGGACAAAAACATAATTAAATAAAAATCAGTAAACAATTGATGGACTCCCGTTTCTAACTCATCAAAAATATGATATATATGCCTTCTTTATTAAAAATTTTTGAGTGTTCAATATAATACATACCTGCTAATGCCAATTTCATGTCCTAGCTTTAGTGGTAGTTTAACATAAAAATATTAAAGTAACAGTCAAAGAAATTCAATAGATTATTTATATTATCAAACAAATAAGGTGCTAATTATTGAACAATTGCTTTAATAGACGAAAGTAATTTTGTAAGCACGCATATTTCAATAATCGTATTTTTTTTTTATTCGAGAGCCGCTGCTAGTGGAGATTAGAATATTATACACTGACTTGTCAGAAGATACGTCTTTACGTTCTGATTTTGGTAAATCTTTTAACACATATCTAAAAGAAATATTTCAAACATAAATTACACTGGTACATATTATACTTAACATAATTATATAACAAAAGTTTCCTGTTTCAAGCCGTATTGACGAGGATAATTTGCACAAACGTATCAATTTCGAGGAAAATTAATTTATGACATTACACAAATCATTAGAATTGAAATGAATGCAACACAGTTATTTCACATTTTCGCTCAATGAGCGATCACGCATGACTAATGGTCGAAAAAAGAAAGATGTACATGATTCATTGCAGCAAATGAATATACATAAAAACATTTTCATTGGACAATCCCGCAAATGGAGCGCTGGATTTTTTAGAACGATTATGCATATAATAAGACCAATTATTACATGCGGGGAAGCGCAAGCGGTATAACGACTCCGCTATTACATTAGTCGTATCCCGCATTCTGAGAGTCCACAAATGCTGTATATTCGACCAACTGATCAATGGATTAAAGATATTGTTGGTTTCATGTTACATTACTAACTGTAACTTAAAAAGTTAAATTTATAATAAATTTATCAAAAATTTAAAGTTCTCCAAAATCAGATCCAGATACTGTAGGAAATGTAGGTACTATAAATTTCTCTTTCTTACAAATGTTGGAACTTGAAAGTTTCTAGTTCCACCTTAGCAGTGTTATTAATAAACAAGGTTTAGCATTGGAGCAAATTTACGCTGAGATTTAGTATTAGTCAAAATTCGGATTATTAAACAGACACTTGGCAAAGTTTAACCTAGTACGAGGTTCTACTGGAGTAACATTTACTCCCAGTAGATAGTAGGTTTTGCTAATTCTCTCTATAATATGAATTTGAACTAATACTGAAATTGCAATTTCAGCGTAAATTTACTCTGGATGCTAAACCTCGTCTATTAATACCACGATAAAGGTAAAAAAACTACTCAGGTATTCAGTTACACAGAAAAATCTTTTTTTTTCTGTTTAACTCTGTTCTTCTAGCGACTTAACTCTGTTTTCTCTGTTTTAACTCTGATCGAAATAGTTCATGTTTATTGTTAATATTGAACAGTACTTTGTTTATTAAATGTGATAAAGTGTAAAATGTAGTGTCTATATTAATCTAACAGGCAACAACAATGGACTCAATTTAATAAACAGAACTTGTATTTTGTTACATTTGATCGATCATATGTGTTAAACAGGTGAACTGTTTGATTATATTATTGCATTTGTTAAAACATGGTGTGTAATTCTGAAGTAACTACGCAAACTATTTAACCTCGCTCATCTTTAACACACTGAAGTGGACTTTAATAGTACTTAGTCAACAATATTCATAAGTAAAAATTTAGGCACATCTGAGAATACAATATAATACCTAGTGACTACAATGTAAATTATAAGTACAAAACAAATAAGTTTTTCCTTACTTAGCTAACAAGAAGCATTTCTTTGAGAAAATAGATTGATTGAATCAATGGGAATAACACAATTGTACAGTTTTCTTTTTTCAATGCATAAATCTATGATTAAATAGGCTGACCGTAAGTATTACATGGATCAAAATAGAAACTTATACACAAGCACAGTAAATATGGCAGTGCCACAGAGCCCATTTATAAGCAATGGTATATTCTAATTTTACCTATCAAACCATGTAATTTCAGAAAATGAATCTACATTGTGATGCTGCTCATGAGGCAGCCTTTTCACTAGTGCTCAAATATGCAGCCATAAAATGTGGATAGTTATCTTTAGATCAAAACAAATGAAATTTGTATGCCTGTAGTAATACCAAAAAATGCAGTAGCAAGTTTATCCATTTACTGCATTTCTTGATAGCATGACAGAATACTAAGTAAAAGAAGATTAATAATATAAAACAGATCGTAATACATCTTCACTTGAATCAACTCTGTTTCTAACTAAAAGAGAGAATATTAAATGCCTTTAAGCATAAGCAAGCAATCAGTACTTTTACTTAAAAATGAACAGTTCTTCATTCAATCCATTTCTCATCTCTTGTCTTTTTAATACAAATTCATGTTCGAGTTTTTTCAATGTTTAAAATTTTTTATTATTTAACAAATAGTCAGGCCTTATGGTTGAGACCAAAATTTACAATTAACAGTTCGTCTCATTCATGCTTGTTCTTAAAACTGTATAGTAGGGCCAATTGAACACATTTAATATATAAATATACCTAACTCATGGTTTGGAACTATCAGTAGAATCAGTTAATTGATTGCTTGTTTCTTGTTTAGCACTAACATCATTTTTTATTTCAATCTCCAATTTGTCACCACCAATGAGGTACATTGCTTCATCATATGTTGGGGGAGGTGCGTCAGAGCTGGATGATTGAGGTTTACTGGTAGTAGCGTTGGCTAGTAGAGCATCGTATGACGGAGGTAATGTGGTGTTTGAAGCAGTCCTAGGTACTTGTCCAGTATACGCTTGTTCGGCTTGCACTATTGCCATGTCCTAAAAATATAACACTAATTTAACATTACATAACATTGTAACTTAAATAATCTATCAAAATTAAAAAATAGTAGTAATTAAGTTTTTTGCATTTTATATGTATGACCTTTAATCTTACAGAAAAGTTTGTTAAGCCTGATCTTTGGATTGTCCTTTTTGTAATGAAATAGTTTTGACATAAAATAATATAAATTAAAACGAGCTGAAAACATCTTAAAATGTCAATACAGAATTTGCAATGTGATAATAAATATATCTTAAGGAATTATTTGAAGTGTTGAATGAGTTAAATGTTATTTGACATTAATACACCTAAAATTATAGCAATGTTATGCCTTTTCATTGAAATGCACTTATTATCACATAAAAGATCAGAATACTGCAGTTTCCTGATGTTAAATGATTTAGCTATAGGAAAAAGACTTCAACTAAAAGGGAAGTTTGAATTGTAAGCCAAATGTTAAGAAAACAAGTATGATAGCACTTATGCCAGATTTTATTACTTACTCGGATAAGTTCACGTCGATGGAGAAGCATTTGTATTACACTTTTTCTCCGCAAATAAAGCATACTTTTTACTGCAACCATCATTCCAGAACATATAAAGATTGGTCCCACTAGCCACATGTGCCCTAAATTATGAAGTATATATCCATCAGCATCTCCTAAAGCTAGAACCGTTATCACAGTCCCGACAGAAAATAGCACCATTGAAAGTACAAAATATGAATAACTTGTACAGTCACATCGTCCGAATCTCTGATCTTCGTCAAAGTCGTAGTCAGTTCGCCGCAAACGATGTAATCTTTGACGAATGAATGGACTATCAAACAAGGTGGTGGCCATTTTCAACTATAACTACTTTGAAATGCCTAGGCGTTAATGTATGAACATATTCCAAGTATTACAATTATTTGTAAAAATAAGACTGAATATAATATCAACCTTCAGAATTGGAAAGTGCAAACAACAGAAAACAAGTTTTCGTCTTGAAGGCTTCTTTTTCCTTCTTAAACTTTCCTGTTTCACAGACCAAATACAGATGTTTATAAAGTTTACGGATAAGTATTCGAGTTTAAACGAAAAGCACTTAATTAAGCATGCTTTTTTAAATAAGTGCAAAAGCACTTTTTCGCTTAGAAGAAAAGTATGCTAATGCTTATTGTACGTCCCGCCATCTATCAAGATATAACTACTAGCTTCAATCAATTTTTCCGTTTCGGCGTTATTCTATTAGAGGGCAGCACTTTACATAAAATAAATAAATGCATGCACTTCTACTATTACGCGTGATATCCATCTAGACTTTTTACAACAACTTTTTTGGTTGGTTAATCCAAACACTTTTTTAAACTGAACTTATACTTAAAAAAGCAGTACGCTTTTCGTTTTTGAAGTAAGTGCACGTTGTGTTAATTGCGTAAGTTGAATTATACAATTAATACGTAAATAAATTGCTACATAAGTAATGAATGACTTTTGTTTATCAATGTAAATAAGTTTTGTTATGAGGTGATGGTGTGTATATAAAACATTTTAAATATTATTGAACTGCATTAGTTTTAAGATTGTGTAAATAAAATGTCGAGAAACGGTAGTAGTATTGTGTGGGAGTATTTCAATAGAAATGTGGAGGACAGAATCGCAGAGTGTAATATATGAAAAAAAATCTTTCTTTCAAAAGTTCTATTACTAATTTAAAACAGGTTAAACAGGTTTTTTAAAACAGGTCTATTTAAATTTCTTTTTGTTGTCAAGGCATATTATTTTACATATCCGGGAGGGCCAAATCAGATTTCTCGAAAAGTGGGGCTAATATAGTCATAAATCGGTACCAAGTTTTCTAGGCAAGCTAAGATATCCTGAAGAGTTATAATATTTAGGTTTTGATGTAATAGGCTTGATTATCTTTGCTTTTAATAAAAAGAAACAAACGAATTCGATAAATGAGGAATTATTAAAAAAAATCTAAAAAAGCACCTCACTACCTACATGGCGACTCTAGCAAAAGTATCGATAACAAAAAGAAAATCAATTGAATATAGTTTCGATATCTGAAGTTTTTGAAAATATATTAATGAACAGTAATGTGTGCCGTTTTGATTATCATACACATCGATAACCGATTACAATATTACTCGTAATCGATTGATAATTGATAATAATCGATTCGTGTCAACGATTATTAAATATTTTTACCCCAAAAGTTTATTGATGATTTCAAATTAATCTCACCGTATTTTAAAGCCATCCAATATATTGAATAATAGTTAAAATCAATTTTAAGATAATGTTTACTAGACCAGTGCATGCAAAATTTATAGAATTAAATTAGCTGTACCCTCGATTTCGTCTGCGTAGAAAGTAGCCTTAGTAATTCATTATTATATAATCAAATTTGGTCTAACCGTTTCAGAGTTTAGCCGGAACAAACAGACATACAAATTTGGTATTGGTATGTACTGTGTATACTTACATGTGTATTTAGTAAGAAACGGTTAATTTGTATTTGTTAAAATAAAACTGTAAGATCCGGTCATTCATTCATCGGGAGTTCCCCGACCAAAGAGTAAAGTAACCTATTTGTTCGTGGGAGTATTCCTGGATTGCCATAATAAGTATTATAATATCTACTAATAATATTCACACTCGCGATCCGCTGTCAGTTGCTGATCCATCGAAGGAAAGTAAGTAGGTACTATACTAACGTTTTAAACTATTCCTATGCTAACGTTTAAAGTAATAATCGATGGTTAATAGTCGATTAGGAAATAATAATCAATAGCAACTGATTATTTGAAACATCGATTAAACGATTAATGGTAATCGATTCGGCACACCATTAATATATAGCAGCGCGGCGATATGTTGACAAAAAATGAATATCGTTATTTATTTTAGAGGTATATATCGTATTAAATTATTACCAAATTAAAACGAAATAAGCGTTGTAAGTATTTCATAAAATATTTTAACTCGCTTTTAGTTTACACATTGACTATATTTATGTATATTGACTATTTTGATTAAATAAATTTGTTAAAAATAAAAAAATTAAACAATTTTGATTTTCAGTGCAATTCATTAAATTCATTGAAAAGTATGAGTATTGTACTATACCTCATATGATAAAATTTGACTATAATTTATAGTAATTTTTCTAATTATAGGTCTCAACTTTGTGGTTTATGAATGCAAAATTTATCAAACATAATAATTGATATTAGCTTTGAAGTTTCACTGAAATCTAAATAAACACAAACAACATGTATTTTCTCACCAAGTATATTAAACTGCAATTTTTATGTTTCAGTTCAGCATTATAATCGAGAAACTGCCTACTGAACTTATACACTTTTGAAAAACCATATATGCAGTTGGAATTAAACCTTAATCTACTACACATTATTCAATTGTATTCTTAAACATTTTGGTTAGAACAATTTCCTGAAACATAGATACTAGAGGTGAGACTGTGACTAATTCTTTTGAATGGTGTAAATATAAATATATGTGTAGAATTATTGCTATCCTCTCATCTGTTGTTATTGTATTGCAAAAATACACTTTCAATTTAGATTCTTTAGAGAATTTACTGATTAGTCTAGTTCCTTAAGTTTTCATAATCAAGATAGCATAAATGAATGATATTTTGAGAATTTACATAGTTTTTACCAATTTAGCTATTTACCAATTACTCAACTACTTGTATAAATCAACGGTAATAGATACATTTATTATTTTGTGAACTGGTAACAAGAACTGTGTGATAAAGAGTTGTAGTCGAAGCATTATTTATGTGTCACAATTATGCTAACATAAGCAGAATTGTACTTCTGTACTGTTTTAATTATAAGTTTGTTTTTTCCAGATATACCAGATATCATTGATTCTACCATGGAGTTGAAAGTTTATTTTGGATTATCTTTGGATGCAGATGTTTTGGTATGTAATGGTCTCTTATATCAATACAGTGGACTTGCAGTACTATGACAAGCATTGTATGCAACCCTCTATAGTTCTGTATAATAATATAATAGCCTTTATTCAGAAAACCATTAAATTTACATATCAAATATACTTATAATTAATACAATTTCATTCTTAAATTACACAAATAGCTTGTTTAGTCACATTATTTAATTTATGCTAAGATATGTCGATATTGAATTGAATTATTTATTTATGTCAATGTTAGATTTTATATGTCAATATTTAATAATTTGTTTCATTGGTTAACTCTGTTTGCTTTTTGGCATAGGCCTCCCCCAATCTTTCCCAATTTATTTTATTTGATGTCAATTTAGTCCATGTCACTCCTGCAGTTTTTGCTAGTTCGGCTTCTCATCTGCCTCCTTCTCCTCCTTTTCCTATCTCTGGGTATCCAATTTAGTATTGTTTTACTCCACTTTTCTGTGCCTCTTATAACATTACCTCCCCATATACACTTTCCTTTTATTACCTTTTCAGTGACATCTATCATTTTGGTCTTTCCTCTAATTGTGGAATGCCTTAATTTTTGCATTTTCGAAATACTTAACATGCTTCTTTCCATCGCTCTTTGGCAAGTCCTTATTTTTCGCAGATGGGATCTATTAAGTGACTATGTTTCGCATTCATAAATAAGAATGGGAAGTATGCAAGTATTAAAGAGTTTTCTTTACTGACCAATAGCTCTTCCAGGCTCCACTTATTCTTGTTTCGATTTCTTTATCTGTCATGACTAGTGGTGAGATAATTTGTCCCAAGTACTTATATTCGTCTACATATTTTATTTTGTCTCCAAAATTGGAAGTTTGATTCTATTCGTCATGACCTTGGTTTTGGACATATTCATGGCTAACCCCACTTTTCTGCTTTGTTCATTAAGCTCTTCTACCATTTTTTGTAGGTTCTTAGCACAGTCAGAAAATATAACGAGGTCATCAGCAAATCTTAAGTGTGTCAAGCTTCTGACCATTTATTTTAATGCCATATCCCAATCCAGTTCGCGGAAAATACCCTTTAAAAACGCCGAAAACAGTTTTGGAGACAACAGGTCACCCTGCCGAACTCCTTCCTCTCTTTATTGGGAACTGCGATCCTTCCCTATCCAATCTCACTCTTGCAGTGCTATTTTGGTATAATTATGTTTACATATACACCTTGTTTTTTTGGTTCTATATGTAATTATAAAAATAATATATTATTTGTCTGTTTATATCTTCACTGTTGCGGTAGGCAGAGAGGATCGAACGCCACAACGTACTTTCATTGATCTTTTCATACATGCTCGCCGGTTTTTATGGCTTTTGACATCACTTTCTAACAGCATATAATTGATTTGACCTTGAAAGGCTTCTAGATCCTTTCACTTTCGCATTGTATATCAGTTTTGTAATAATATAAAATAATAGTTGAGCCTTTTATTCAGAGTCAAAATTCCACAAAAAGTTATTAGATTCACTAAATGTCCTGTCCGTCTCGGTTTGCCTCCTGGCTTAGGTCTCCTCCAGTGACTTCCACTGCAGTCTGTCCCTTGCTACTCTACGTCCAGAGGGGGCCAGCTATTAATTTTAAATCGTCCATCCACATTGTCTTCCTCTGCTCCTGTTGCCGTACCTTGGGTACTATTCAGTCCCTGTTTTGCTCCATGTGCCTTGTGTATCGCGCATTATGTGGCCTTACCACCTCCATTTTTGTTTATCTATTTGGCTTAAGATGTCAGTAAGCTTGATTTTTTCTCTAAGCTCCATGTTTTTGAATCTATCTTGTAATTTACACCCAACTATACTTAGTTCCATTACTTTTTGGCATTTTACCAGTTTCTCTATTAGGACTATGCTAAGGACCACATTTCACATCCATAATCACAAATTCATGTTTTTTTTTCATCAATCAATACTTATTCCATCTGTTGGCAATCCTCATATTTATTTCTTTTATAGTTTGATTGTTAAGAGATATTCACTGGCCTAAGTATGTATACTCCTCAACGAAATCGACGGTTTCCTGATTCACGGTTATGTTTGTTTTGGTGTAGTTAATCTTAAGT